TTGGGAGAATGGTGAAGATGATGGCAGAGCAAGGGAAAACATACACGCCTACAATTTGTCGTCTAGGAAGCATAGTAGGTAACAGAAAGAAAACCCTTGGAGGCGCATAATGCCTGACTGTCTTTCTCCACTTTTGTCCTTTTTGGCCAGGCCTCGGTTTTCTCCATAAATCACTCAGTATGCACTCATACACACACTCCCTCTCTCTCTCGCTCACTCTCACTCTCTCACAAATACTTAAGTAGAGAGAGAGGCAGGCAGACACACAGGAAAGATCTTTTTGGCTCGGAGCACATGGAGACCGAGGGGACATGGGCTTTGACTCTGCTGTGGTGTGATGTATATATTTCATACAGAAATATGAATGCTCTCTGCCAGCACTTTCTCTCACTGCGGAAATGTGTCCAGCAGACGCTTGACATACGCGTGCGCACATACACATACACACACAGGGTGCGGCTTGCTGCCAACAATAAGACTTGTTTAACGAGTCTCAGCGCTTTGTTGATTTCAATCTAAGGGCTTTGTTGTTTTTGTGAATCGCGCTCTCTGAGGCCGATATTAATCTTCGCCATGTGTATACACAAGGTGTCCAGCGCTGCGCTGTATAACTGGGAATTGTCATGCGACAACATTTGGTTCAAATTGGGTGAAGTCTTGTTTTGCTCCCTGCTTCCTCCCGTGGCCAGGTCTGGTGTTTATAGTACTGTGGTGGAACCCTTCCTCCGTCACCCATACTTTCCTCTTCCTCCTCTCCCAGTCACTTCCTCACATCATCAACCCCCATTTTTCTCCCTGCTGCCTTCTTCTCCTCACTTCTTCTCTTACTCCTGCAGTAGACTTCCCTTGGCCTGGTCCAGTGTTTGTGTTCTGGATTCTGCGTTCCTCGATGGCAGCGTGTGCAAGTGCAGAGAGACACAGGGTCTTGGCAGGGCTGTCGGTTTCCAGGTGCTTCTTTAGTGTTTGGCAGCTTTCTGCCTGTGCCTGACTAATGTCTCTTCTCCTCACTGGGCCCGCACTCTTGTCTCTTTTACAGTGCTCCCTAGAAAACCTCCTGTAGTTAGTTTGCAATACAGGCGTTGCCGCAAGACAGGAACACAAGAACAGGGTGGCTTTTCTTTTGATTGAAGGTTGTGCATGTTTTGCTCAAGCTGCTCCTCAAAGCTGGTATCAGAGAGTTTAGACTCAAATGGCCAGGTTTTAGACAGTAACATGAATTCAAGTCGGTGTAAAGTATCATACCAAAATAGTAGTTTCCATAATAGTTGTGTTTTGGATGTAGCTAGATGCCTGGTCATGCCAGTATTGTCAGATTGGACATGTCAGACTTGACTGTAGTTCACATACATCAGACTGGGTTGTGGTTAATATCTTAATGCAATGACTTCTGGACCTTTTTGTAGGTTAAACCTCAGCCAGTCTTTTCTCACCAGTGTGTCTTGTTTTTCACTGAAAACCACAAACACAATTCCAGCAAATATAAAGAATATAGACTGTGGCTTATTTGGGCTCATTGTTTATTAAAATTTATTTGATATAATATATTTTGAAATGAACTAGTGAGTCAAAACTTAATTATACAAAAAAAAAGTTTCGGATGAAGTCTCTGCTGTTAACTGTTTCCACTGGCACTGCACATTTGCTGCTTTTAAAAATCTTTTTTTTTTCTTTTTTTTCTGTGATGTCAGCTCATTTCAGTGCTTATTGGTCATGTTTGAAATGCAGTGCGTCTCTTGACTTGTGTGCACACAACATGCACATGCACCTGAGTGCACACATTTATACATTCACAAGTCCATACATACAGTAAATCTGCTGTCAGTTGTCTTGGACGAGCACGTTGTGGAGTAGATGAAGCCAGCTCCATTCTGCATCTTTGGCTGAGTGAGCTTCATGTTGTCTCCCCCCTTTGGGAATTAAACCATGCTATGTGGTAATTATATGCATGTTTCTCTTGGTATTTTGGGGGTTGGAGACAGACAAAGTAACGTTCACATCAGAGCCAGACCATTCCTTAACGCCTACACACTGACCCCAAACAAAATATTTCACATATTTAAACAGAATAGTTGATTGACAATTGTGTTCATGGAAGCAATTCATTTTATAGTGGTAGGCCTCTATATAAAATAATTCAGAAGGTTATGAGTCACATAATGACATTTGACTATTTGTCATTATGAAGTGGAAGCTGTTGTTTGGTGTGAACTACAACGTTAGTGATCATTAATCACCTTAGGAACATTTGTGAGGATTAGCAGTTCGCTCAAAATCCAAACACTTAGTGATAAAAATGACACACGTAAGTGCAGTTTCATCATCAGAAGTTATGGTCTGGCTTTGTATAGTTGAGTCATTTAAGGACAGCAATGATTTGGCTCCAGTTGAGGTTGATAACAGTGAATTCTTGTTGCCAGGTGTCCATGGGAGAGGCTGAGAGGGATAGGCTATGGATATGTGTGCATGCCTGCACCCACTGACCTGTTATTTTTTTGTGTGTGGGCGTGCAAGCATGCACGTGTGTGTGTGTGT